CTATCTACTAATATTCTATTTAATAATGTTTAAAGAAGCAATTAATAAAGAATAAAAAATAATATCATTATTAACTTTTCACTGCTTTCCAGCAAAAATTCCATTTAAGAGAATACGATTACAAAACTGTAAATAATAAATATTTTTAAACATGATAACGTTAGTTATAAAATCTCTTACGCCACACATTTCTGGGATTAAATATTAGTAATAATAAATATTCGTATATTAGTAATATTAATATTAAATATCTCTTACGTCACATGATCAGGTGAATAAATGATAATATGTTCCAGAGTTGGACACACTTCTTTGGCGGCCAGTAACATCCTCGGATAATTCTGCGTTTTGAACGCGATTGGTGAGACAATCGCTTTTATGCCAACTTTTTGCAAACAATATACTAATTCATTTTGTTGATAAGCCGGGTTAATCGAGACGACGATTAATCCCGCCCTCGATGCACTCAGGGAAGTTATGAACCATTCGAGATCATTCGGACCCCAGATGGCCAGTCGATCGCCCTTCTTCAGGCCTAATTTCTTAAGACCAGCAGCGAACGCGTCAACCCGTCGAAGAAGGTCGAAAAACGTTAATTGAATATTTTGGTGAACCGAAACGATGCAAGTTTTTTCGGGCCATGTTGCAACAGCTTCACCGAGTATCTGTCCGATAGTTTTTTCCAACAACGGAATTTCGCTGGGATTATACATGTGAGCAACATTGATTGCTTGAGAATGATTAGCCCTCGTTTGGATGTTTGACTTGTGACATTGATATCGTTCTGCAATGTGTGTTAATTGCAATGTAAGTCTATACAAAGATATTTTTTTAAATCATATATATCTTTGAGTTTCAAATTCTATTTTTTTTTTTATAGTGTATCACATTTTTATATAATTAAACACTAATCTTCGTATAGCAAGGTTGTTAAAATAACGCTTATGATGTTTTATTATCTTTATTTGGAATAATTAAGTAACGGTCTTTCATTTATGATTCCATTTGTACAAACTCTCTACATTTTCAGAAATTGAATAAAAAATAATTAACAAATCGGTTTTATTTTATTTAAATATTGAAATGATGTATGGACTCGGCATATGTTTCAGTATAATGAGACAATCATAGACATAGTATATCTAGACCGAGCGTTTGCCTTTATTTAAGGAGTGGGGGTAAAGATGCTTGTAGAAAAGGACATACTCTATTTCATGCCCTTGCGTTCTCTCTCGCTCGCACGTAGCATAGCGTTCTCTTTCGCTATGCTACGTACGAGTGAGAGAGAACGCAAGGGGCACGGAACAGAGTACGTCCTTTTCTACGTGCACCTTGGCCCCCACTCCTCACCTTGGTCTAGATATACTATGTCTATGGAGACAATAAAATAAAATAATAAATATATAATAATAGCGCAAACTTCAAAGTTTAAATCGAAGTATTATTTGTTCTATTATGATTTATTCACTTACCACTAAAATTAGCGTGTAATACAGAAAAACATCGTGGATAGTTATGACGATTTAAAATTCCGAACATAGCGTATCGTGACATCGACTTAAACAGGGGAAGCATCTTTCTGTAAAGGTAGTGACACTTGTGTTACGTAAACAAATACACACTGCAGCTGCACGCCAAAACAGAATAAAACAAAGTTCTGTTATCAAGTTTTTATCTTGTACTCATAAACAACAATAATATCTGTATTATCTATATCTTTTTTAATATAAACATAGTTATATGGAATTTTATATTATTTCTCTGTAATTAACGATTGATTATTATTATTATTATACGAAGAGAGACAGAGAGAGACAGAGAGCGAGAGAGAGAGTATTTTTTTATAATATCTATGTGTATTCAACGTCTTAAAATGACGATATTATAAATTTTTCGATTTTTGTAAATAGCTTTAAATATAATTTCTTTATTGTTAAAGCTAATTAAATATTTTTAAACGTCGAGTGCATATATAATGTTTAGTAGGCATTAAGATACTAAGGTATAATTTTCGTGCGAAAAGAGACAATATATATGTGAAATATAAAAATATTTTATCAACACATGCAAAAAATTAATTTGATATTAAACCGTTATCCTGCGGTTTTTAGTACGATATTATCACGTTTTTTCAGCACAATCTATCAAGTAATGACACTTCAATCAAACTTTATTAGTACAGTAGTAAAATATGCAGTAAAATAAAATTAATTTTTAGAATGATATCGTGATTTTTTCAATAACATAAATATGATATCACAATGAGTTATTTTCTTCCATTTTATCGTAATTTTATCTATTTATCATCTTATCACAATTTTGTCCATTTTACACACACTTGGACATGCACTCAGCATTTCCGTTCAGAATATATTACATATACTATCGGAACACTTGTTTAGTGATTTAGTATATTCAGTGCAGAATATATCGTGAGTATAGGAATAGGCATTAGGACACAATACGTCGCAGATCACTGATTTCACTGCAATGCAGTAGAGAGAACTTACTTAAGCAGAGAATGTTTTCACTCGACTGATATGTTTATCAATGACTCTCGCACAACACAATCTCGATGACGCAGCAAAATGAACGTATACACGTGATCTTGCTCGAAGAAAGAGAACTGGCGATTAATTTTATTTGAAAAAATCAATTTCAAAGTATCTAAAACAATCACTGTCTCAAAATTCAAAATTTTTTATCGATAAATCTTCTTTCTTCGTGCAGAATCATACATATATATAGACACGACAAAACGTTATAATGATTTCACTAAGGCGATATCTGCACGAAGATGCGCTGATATTAACTCACTTGAACTGATGCTAGTACCATGCTATTTGTATAAGCAGAGAATGTATTTGATACTGGAATCATTTATAATATCTTTATCGTTTTTATGTTTCGTTTTTTATGTATCATTTTCAGGGTTGGGAAGTAACGCGTTACTTGTAACGCCGTTACCGTTAGCCGTTATTTTTTGAGTAACGGTAACGGTAACGAGTTACTTTTTAGAAAAAAGAACGGTAACGGTAACGAGTTACTTTTATAAAGTAACTTTCCCAACCCTGATCATTTTTTAAGATACTGCTTAGCAATTTAAATTAGCTATGACAGACTTGATGATTAAACATAAGCGCTATCTATATTCTTTCATCTATCTTTATTTATGTTTGAAAATAAGAGCTATTATCTCGCAAAATAAAGACTCTATTTTTCAAGGCTTAAATATTTTATATCTTCTAATATGATTTAAGTACTTTCTCGACAGTTATCTAAAAAAAAAAAAATATTTTATGTAACATCTGAGGGATAGTTTTCAAAACTAATTAGCTCGCGGGAGTATTGTTCAACTATATTAAGTAACTTATCACGTTCTTATCGTATTTTCCTGCACGCCGAAAGTATACCATCGAAGCAAGATGTCGAGAGAGCGAAAAATAGAGACCACGCACGAGCAAGTCTTTTTAGTCTCGGGCGAGCGAAAGCGAAAAGGAATTGAGGGACGTTATTCAGAGTCCGTGGCAGAGTCCGGTGGACTCGAGATAGACGGATAGCGTGCCTGCCAGGCTGGTCCGGAAGTCGCGTGTCGACGGCAGCCATAACAGCCCCTCCCGCGACTCTCGCCCTTCCTCGACCTGAACCACCACCTCTTGCCTGATTTCCTTAGCTGCTACCAACGACGACTAGCACAGCCTACCACGAGATTAGCCCATGTGTGCGAGAGGTCTGCAATCCGTGCAGATCGAGGGTGAGCAAGTATTGGTGCAACGTTACCCTAATGAAACACCGAGAACGAGTCGGCGATTGGTCGATCCCGAAAGCGAAGGAAAAGCAACCCTCTCTCTTCTTCGCGACCCTCTCGGTTACGTAGCGTCTTCAGAATCGCTAGACTAACCGTGCCGTTAACACTTGCTTGGTACCGTTAATATTTTTATCCGAATAATAAAATAATTAGCAGTGTGTCGAGTCGTGCAAAAATCTGTCATTTGTGTTAGGACGATATTGCCACACGAAATGCGAGGAAGAATATATCCAATAGAAGTCATCGGAAACGTTGTTACGTTTTATTCAATTAACTAAAAGCTATTTACTCGTGTCACATTTACATATAACACTTATAAAAATATTAATCAAATATATTAAAATATATTATATATCGTATTTCTGTTATTGGAACAAATTGCAAGTGATTTGAAATATATATACGTCGCGCTTGTTTACAGATATATTTCGATTTACGGAATTACTATTTCCTATTAATAAATCGAAATCGCCTTTCCCCGCATTAGCGTGAAGTCTTTCGAAATTGTTATGTGATAAATGTGAGCATTATTCTTATACTTTTCATTTGCCAAGTGTTCCATGTCGCACTACACAAAGAAGTATCTATCTGGTGGCCGTTTATTCCTCGCTGTTTCCGTGTATCGTTAACGATGTGCAGTTTCGAACGAGAGTGAGTCACTTGAGCAAACCATGCTCGCGTTCCGCGCGAAAGGATCGTACGGCATAGCATGAGCAGTAACAGCAAGAAGGCACCGGGAGGCAAGGACGACAAGAAGAATCCTTCCAGCAAAGAGGAGAGCCCGTTGGGCGGTAAGGACGATGGTGGTTCGGCCTCGACCGGAAGCAATGGGGGTACGGCCGCAGGAGAGCCGTCGCAGCCCGGAAGCAAGCCTAGCTCCGCCGGTGCGACCGCCAGGGAAGGGGCCCAGAGACTTCTGGGCCTGGCGGCGCGCGGCGAGTGGGCCCCCGTGGACCAGCTGCTCAAATCTCTGGAGAAGACGGTGCAAAGTGCGGGAGAGGATGGCTTCATCGTGCCGCTCGCCGGTGTTTTGGACCCGGTCAGTCCCATCGATATGATTGCTGAAAAGAAAGTCCTTAGTACAAAAACAAAATTAATGTACTTAAATAAGAAAAATTGCCGAAAGAATGTAAAGTTCTTATGTGGACAAAATAGATCCCTCGCGCGATTTATTCTTAGAAAATTTTGGTGAGAAATTTTGGATTGCATGGGGATACATTATGTAGCAAATTTGTATGCTCCTAGACGAAGACTTTTAATCTGTAGGTGACGGGGATGACGCCGTTGATGTACGCAGTAAAGGACAACCGCAGCGCTCTCCTCGATCGGATGATTGAGCTCGGATCTGACGTGGGCGCCAGAAACAACGCAAGTACCCCACAATCACGAACGCATGAATTAAAAAATAATCAAGAAAGATGTTTATCTATTAATAATAAACAATTTAAAAAGAACATGATATACGGTCTCGCAAAAGGAAAAAGAAAACATACAACCGAACAAGGCTTACATTTTTCGAAAAATACTCCATTTGAAAAGGAAACATTTGATTCATTGCCTTTTGTTTATTCATTGCCGTCGCGATAAGTTCTCGTGCTAGAATTACGTGGCACTGGCACGTAATAGCTGCGAAGGTGACGCGTGCCACGAAACGTGTACAGCTAATGATTAGGCAATTTGTGCTAAGTCAAGTCATTCGTGGAGGTAAAGAGAGGGGGCGAGTAGAGGGTACGTACGATTGCGTGAAGGAGGGCCAAGGTCAAGGAGCTTATACTTACTGACCGAATGGATAAGACGGGTACACGTGTAAAGGAATAAGTACGCATAGTTCTTCTGGTGATATTTACCATGACTTTCAGAAGGTTACACTAAGCGCGTATAATTGACCTTCTTTTAGATGTGAAAACCGTTGCTATTAAACGTAACATTAATCCTGTGATAAGACTTTCCAAAATCGATATTACTATACACAGTTCTACCGGTGACATTTTCAATGACCTTCCGGCGCAAAAAGCCGTTGCAAATAAAATCTTTTGATGACTAACTGTAAAGCTCCAATTTTAATCTATTCCAAGAATCGGACTGCTTTTTCGTTGAAGTTGATAGGCGGCTGACCTACTTATCCCTTTACACTTATCCCTTACCCATCTTGTTCATTTGATCAGTAAACATAAGTTCCTTAACCTTGGCTCTCCTTCACGCAATCGTTCTCTTGACTTATTTCCCTCTCTCTTCGAATGGCTTGACTTTGTTAGCACAGATTGCGACCTGATCATTAATTGCAACGTTTTACATGTTATTTTCACAGTTGTCAATTGTTTTATTTAAAATATTCATTATAAAACTTTATTGCATGTCGGCATATAAGATGTGATGTATCATCTTTAACTATTTATTTAGTTGGATAAATAAGGTCATAATTTTCGTTATCCCATACAAATGTAAAAAGTATAAATATTTCAATAACATAATTGACATTACTCCTGTTACTTGCATTATGTCACAACGCATGTTAAGAGCGTATCATAAAAATTCTATTTGTTGTAGAAACGTGCATTAACAATGTATCACTTTACAAACACATTATGCAAGACGTTATGTACTTGCTACTATCGATTTACTGCCTACCACTCCCATGATGATTCTGATATAATTTTCGAATAGCATGCTGATACATGATACGTGATCGAAAGTCTGAAATCTATCATTAAAGGCTAGCCCGAATTTGTGGGTGCGGCAGAGGAAAACTTTGATGGCTTTTATTATCCCGTCTTCATAAAAATCTGTTATGAATCAACGAAATGTTCGCGATAATCATATCGTGCTTCTCAAATATCGCTTTTTCACAAACATTTAAAAAAATTGGTAGAGTTAAATGGTTAATTAATTAACTGTGCGACTAATTAAAAATACTTTATTATTTCTCGGGGAAAAAAATAAAATTATGTTAATTTTATAATCAAGCAAGTTTATGAATACGATTTTCTGATAGATAAATACTTTCTGGAATGTAAGATATTTTATCGGCACACTTTCTGCAGGATAATTACAATGCTCTTCATATTGCTGCTATGTATTCGAGGGAGGACGTTGTTAAGTTGTTGCTGTCCAAGAGAGGTGTTGATCCCTACGCTACGGGAGGGGTACGAATAAATATTCATTTTCGCAATCTTTAGAAAGAAATTTGAAAGAGATCCATTGCAACAATTATCTTATACAAATACCGTGTGTGTACTGAAAGAGATTGTGCTATTCTGTAGAATATAGATTCACTTTAAATAATTTCAAAAGATTTAATCTTCTACTTCTGATATAATTTTTGTATTTTATTTCTTTGGATACAGAAATAGCAGGATAACTTTTGTAAAATTTTATTTGGATTCTATTTCAATAGAATAACGATTATAGAGGCTTGAATTATCACGTAAACTCTACGAAAAAAAAATGTGTTGTACTTAAGTAATCTCACATGAAATATCTATAATTTCTTGAAACTTATCTATAGCCAAGACAACAAACGGCGGTTCATCTAGTGGCGTCAAGACAAACGGGCACCGCGACGTCGATTCTACGAGCTTTATTAGGCGCTGCCGGACGAGACATCAGGCTAAAGGTCGACGGGGTAAGTAGCGGGCAATATTATTTCACAAACTTGCGCAATAAGCTCGCCGATTAAATGTATCATTTTTCGGGGGGTTTGAAAAATTGCTGTCGAGTTTCGCCGATCATCTCGGCGAGATTCTAGGACGGATTTTAATCGTGCGACACCACGGTAAATTTGCATTAGCCCCAAAACTTCAATTTGAAGTTTTGGAAGATGAAGGTTTTTCTGCAGTAAGCCGCGGCACGATGCTCCCATTTCGCGTCTCTCGCGTGACAGGTGCCGCGTACCGAGAAATCGCTACCTGGTACCAAACGGCGCCATAAATCTTCTCCAGTTTGCTTTTTCCACCCTGTCTTTCTCTCTCTTGCTCTCTGTCATACATTCTGTCGCGATAGTACGACGCCACCGATTCGGACGCGTCGACGAATGCCGACAGTCACGACGATCTTCGTCCATTTACAAGAAAAAAAAAAAAACAATAGGATAACTTTTGTGAAATTTTATTTGGATTCTATTTCAATATGAGAATAACGATTATAGAGGCTTGAATTATCACTTAAACTCTACAAAAAAAAAAATGTATTGTACTTAAGTAATCTCACATGAAATATCTATAATTTCTTGAAACTTATCTATAGCCAAGACAACAAACGGCGGTTCATCTAGTGGCGTCAAGACAAACGGGCACCGCGACGTCGATTCTACGAGCTTTATTAGGCGCTGCCGGACGAGACATCAGGCTAAAGGTCGACGGGGTAAGTAGCGGGCAATATTATTTCACAAACTTGCGCAATAAGCTCGCCGATTAAATGTATCATTTTTCGGGGGGTTTGAAAAATTGCTGTCGAGTTTCGCCGATCATCTCGGCGAGATTCTAGGACGGATTTTAATCGTGCGACACCACGGTAAATTTGCATTAGCCCCAAAACTTCAATTTGAAGTTTTGGAAGATGAAGGTTTTTCTGCAGTAAGCCGCGGCACGATGCTCCCATTTCGCGTCTCTCGCGTGACAGGTGCCGCGTACCGAGAAATCGCTACCTGGTACCAAACGGCGCCATAAATCTTCTCCAGTTTGCTTTTTCCACCCTGTCTTTCTCTCTCTTGCTCTCTGTCATACATTCTGTCGCGATAGTACGACGCCACCGATTCGGACGCGTCGACGAATGCCGACAGTCACGACGATCTTCGTCCATTTACAAGAAAAAAAAAAAAACAATAGCCATGATATATCAAGACGATATGCGCATATTTAGATATGTTGACAAAAGTCTATTAATGATATAAGATTTAAAATCGCATTTGCAACTGGAATAGATTTACCGAAGGTCGAGGGACACACGAACAATACTCTTGGGTCACAATGGAGACGAACACTTTTATTAAATTAATGTCAAAGTTTTCTATTCACATAAAAATTTTCTAACGATTTTTATATCGTTCGCAGAATGTTTTTATACACAACGTACATTAATATAGTGCACAGACTTCGTCGATTTCACTAACTCGCGTAATGGACTAAAAGCTTCACTTATAATGCGGTTTGATACACTTTATTCTTGCTTATCGTAAGCTCTCTGTCGTTAGACTGACTGAAATTCGGCGATCTCGATCACTCCACTTTCGATCTTCAAATGGATTTATCGCGATTTCGGGTATTAGAACCAATTACGATAAAGGAACGATATGCTTGCCCAAATAAGGGCATCGAAACTGTTTGTTATCGTTCTAACATGCGTGAAGTTCTTGTCTGTAAGTTGAGCTTTGAAGGGAAAGTCACCGAAACACTCAAAACATGAAAAGAAAAACTTTTCAGAATAATCTACCGCAGTTTTTTCTCTCCGTATTTTAGTTATTAGATCAATATAAATAGCAATATTGAGTACATTCTGTAACAAGATGTTTCGGACAAATACGAAAAATGTTTGTGTCACCTGTCACGATAGTATTTGTTAAAAGATTTCTATAGATTATATGAGATAAGATTATATGAGAAATTGGTAACAATATATCTTTAGATGCCTTTTCTCTTATAACAGTTATTATAATTAATATAAATTTTTCTCTACTAGGAATTTTTCTATAAATGACATAAATTGAGAATATTTAAAAAATTAAAAAAAAAACATACTTTTGTAGGTAAAATAAAATAAAACATTATTCTTTAAATTTTTTAGAAATAGTAATTACTATGTAAGTTATCTAAATTATAAAAATAAATTGAAACGTGTTTTTCTTCTTATATTTATGCCATTTTTTAAGTTCTTTCCGTTTTATATAGTACATCACATAATTACTCGTATACCATAAATGCCTTTCTTTTCGCAGAAAAGAATGTTTTAATCTCAATAATTCTTTTCAAATCTCATTTCTCGTCGCAGAAAGGAAAGATACCTCTTTTGCTAGCAGTTGAGGCTGGCAATCAGTCGATGTGCCGGGAACTTCTCTCACAGCAAGCGCCTGATCAGCTTCGAGCCACCACACCATCAGGTGATTCTGCGCTGCATTTGGCCGCTAGAAGAAGAGACATCGACATGGTGCGGATTCTGGTAGATTATGGCGCGCCCGTCGACATGCAAAATGTACGTTAAATTACGTTGAATGTACGTTAAAAGCACGAGGATCCTAAATGAGGCGGAAAATTAAGCCGGTAATCGGATCGTGTCGTTCAAACTTTGGCGATTATATAAGTACTTTTAAGCTCGCAAATTATAATGCAGTTGCAATGCAAACTTTTTACTGTTTTTCAACAAACTATTATGCGCAATGTTCTTAATCTGTTTTACCACAATGTCACAGTTGAAGAAAATTATTTCTTTTATTTTTTTTTTGCGTAAAAATAAATAATTTCAAAAATCAGTTTTAGATATATAAATATGTGTATAACAAGATATTTTTTTATTATTTAATTAATTTCAAATTGATAGAATCAGAAATTTGATACAAAGTTTATGAGGAAGCCATAAACTAAACACAAAGCGTCAAGTATCTTATATACTGCAGCTATTAATTCTATTCTAACTTAAGCTTTAATGCTGCGGGCAAATTAAGTACAAAACTCGGCGAGATCGATCATACATGATATAAGAGTGACTTACAAATTGCTGCAAATATCATTAGAGAGAACAGCGAGTTTATGTACCTGAATGAGTAATGAGTTAGAACATCACGGTCGTAAAGTTTATAAAAAGATGCTGAAGATTATTTTTATTGTAATTGCATTCACTCACCTTACAAAATTATTTTACGATCCTTGACCTTTCTCTTGCCGGCGGTTAATAATGTGTCTAGTAATGCAAAGGTTTTAATTGTGTCACAAAAAAAGTTGCGGGCACGTGTATGGGGGGCATGCATGCGTAATGAGATCAACTGTCGCATTGCGTCGAGCAAGGATAATATCGTAGACAGAATTAAATTTTCAGTCAACGACAACACGTATTAAGAGAAGCTACCGACATTAATCGCTCGTAAAAATTTTTATTCTCACATACAAAACGATGAATGATACTAAGAAACAAAATGATAATTAATTATTAAAATGAAAAGTAATCATTATTTTTTATTTGTACCAATCCAGTGCAGGTACGAAAGTGAAAATTTTTCTAATTTTTTAAATCAAAATATATAAACTCAAGTCTCTCTATATACAGTTTTCTATAGAACTACGTGTGACGCAATGTTGAAAATAAGGCATTCGTTTAATTCTATTTGACAAATATCAGCGTGCAACATTTATTCCAGGGCGATGGACAAACCGCGTTGCATATAGCGAGCGCCGAAGGTGACGAAACTTTGGTGAAATATTTTTACGGTGTCAGAGCCTCCGCGTCGATCACCGATCATCAGGATCGAACGCCGATGCATCTGGCCGCGGAGAACGGCCACGCTTCCATCATCGAGCTGCTGGCCGACAAATTTAAAGCGAGTATCTTCGAAAGAACGAAAGACGGCTCGACTCTGATGCATATAGCATCCCTGAACGGGCACTCGGAATGTGCCACGATGCTCTTCAAGAAGGGCGTGTATCTGCATATGCCAAACAAACGTGGCGCTAGATCTATTCATACGGCTGCGAGATACGGTCACGTGGGTATTATTAGCACTTTGCTGCAACGTGGAGAGAAGGTAAGTTATCTGTCATCAGAAATTATATGTGCTTTTCTCTCGGCGAATGGATACCATTCACATATATTTCTAAATTTTCTTATATTCTTATATATACATATATATATCTACTACTATAATATCTCAAAGTTGTCAGAATTTTGCTAGAATATTTATGCCAAATTTGTCGAGAGATTTGATTTATACAGTGCAATTTGAGAGATATTTTCTCTCGATCTAAATTTCAGCTTAAATTTTTTATTTCTTTCGCGTTTTCTTGGACAGGTGGACGCGGTAACTAACGATAATTATACGGCACTTCATATAGCCGTGGAAAGTGCCAAACCGGCTGTCGTGGAGACACTTTTAGGATACGGTGCAGAAGTGCACGTGAGGGGTGGAAAACTTCGGGAAACTCCGCTTCACATAGCCGCCAGGGTGCTCGACGGTGACAGATGCGCTCTAATGTTATTGAAATCCGGAGCGGGACCCAATTTGACAACCGACGACGGCCAAACACCCGTCCACGTAGCAGCCAGTCACGGGAATTTAGCGACGCTCCTTTTGCTTCTCGAAGACGGCGGAGATCCGATGTTTAAGTCGAAAGTACGTCGACGAAACAAGATCCAATTCCAAAATGCATTTTTTATATACTTATATAATGTTACAATAATTAAACAGTTGAATAATTGGTAATGTAAAAAATATTATTTTTCTTACAGAACGGAGAGACGCCCTTGCACTTAGCCTGCAGAGGTTGCCGGGCGGATGTGGTTCGGCAATTGATAGAATTTGTAAAGGAGACGAAGGGTCCAGAAGTGGTGACCACTTACGTGAACAGCGTAACGAACGACGGTGCCAGCGCTCTTCATTACGCTGCTCAGATCGAACCCTCGGAGGTCATCAACCCCGGTGACGATCGCGCCGTCGTGCGCGCTCTTCTTGACAACGGCGCGGATGTCTCGCTGCAAACCAAACAGGCCCAGGAAACAGCGTTCCATCACTGTGCTCTCGCGGGCAACAATGAGATCCTGGAGGAGATGATCAGCCGGATGTCGTCCACGAATGTACAAAAGGCCTTGAACCGGCAGAACGCCGTGGGTTGGACGCCGTTGCTGATCGCCTCCAATCGAGGTCATATGGAACTGGTGACGACTCTCCTCGCCAATCACGGCAGAGTCGACGTGTTCGATCTCGAGGGTAGATCCGCTCTGCATTTAGCCGCCGAGCACGGATACTTACAAGTGTGCGACGCGCTGTTGGCGAACAAAGCTTTCATAAATTCCAAGTCTCGCGTGGGAAGAACCGCCCTACATCTCGCCGCTATGAACGGTTACACGCATCTCGTACGTTTTCTCATCCAAGATCACGGCGCTGCAATAGACGTTCTAACCCTTAGGAAACAGACTCCCCTTCATCTGGCGGCGGGAGCCGGCCAGTTGGAGGTCTGCAAACTTTTACTGGAACTCGGTGCCAATATAGACGCCACGGACGATCAGGGACAGAAGCCGATCCACGCCGCGGCTATGAACAATTATGCCGAAGTGGTGCAACTCTTCCTTCAGAGGCATCCGAGTCTCGTGATGGCCTGCACCAAGGACGGCAACACTTGCGCTCACATCGCCGCGATGCAAGGCAGCGTCCGAGTGATCGAGGAACTGATGAAGTTCGATAGACAGGGTGTGATAACTGCCAGGAATAAGTTGACGGACGCGACACCGTTACAACTGGCGGCGGAAGGCGGACATGCCGAAGTAGTGAAGGTTTTAGTTAGAGCCGGAGCGTCCTGCTCTGACGAGAATCGCGCAGGTTTCACTGCGGTTCATCTGGCGGCTGAATATGGTCACGGCCAGGTACTCGAGGTGATGAGATCGTCGCAGTCTCTTAAGATAGTTAGCAAGAAGCTTGGTGTTACGGCGCTTCACGTTGCTGCTTACTTCGGACAAGCTGGTAAGTAAAAATATACGGCAGTAGAAATGTCGTGCTTATCTAGGGATTATCAATAGTCATTACGTTAATAATAATTATATCACTAATTAATTACATTTAAAAAATTCAATATATTTAATTGGAATAATTTTGATCATATATTATTTATAACTTTGCTAATAAGAAGATAGTGAAAGTCTAATTCTGATGATAGAAAGCTAAATAAACTTAAATTAGTGCAAGTATGATTTTTTTAAGCAAAATGTAGCAAATAAACTATTGACAAAACAATTCTCAATTGATTCTAGATACGGTTAGAGAATTACTAACTCATATACCTGGAACTGTAAAATCTGATCCACCAACCGGAGGATCCCTGGTAGGAGAATTGGGAGCCGAATCCGGCATGACTCCTCTTCATCTCGCTGCTTATTCTGGAAACGAGAATGTCGTGCGACTTCTCCTCAATTCTGCCGGAGTTCAGGTAATTTGATAAAATCTTTTTTGTCGTGTAATATTTTACATAATATAATCTTCATTCATATAATCTTAATTCATGGCATTACTCAGATAAAAAATTCTGTCAAGATATCTGTAATAAATAATAAGATATCTAATTGTAAATGATATATATTCTAACACAATGTTTACACATATAATTAGCCAAACAAATTAAAGAGTCCACAGCGATTCAACAGCTATTTCTTACGTGAATATGTAAGAATTAATTTTAAAATTAAGAAAAAATTAAATTTACATCAGCTTTAAAAACTTGAAGGTAGACGCGGCGACGACGGAAAACGGATGGAACCCCCTGCATCTGGCCTGTTTCGGCGGCCACATAACTGTCGTGGGCTTATTGCTAAGCAGATCGGCGGAGCTGCTGCAAAGCGCGGATCGTTACGGCAAAACGGGATTACACATTGCGGCTACCCACGGTCATTACCAAATGGTGGAGGTTCTCTTGGGTCAGGGAGCGGAAATAAACGCGACCGACAAGAATGGCTGGACACCGCTACATTGCGCGGCACGCGCCGGTCATTTGGATGTCGTGAGGTTGCTCGTAGAGAGCGGTGCATCTCCAAAAAGCGAGACGAATCTTGGCTGTGCGCCGATCTGGTTCGCCGCGTCCGAGGGTCACAACGATGTGCTCAAGTATCTCATGGAGAAAGAGCACGATACATACGCTCTCATGGAAGATAGAAGGGTAAGATGCTTGCAATCGATAAGCAGAATAACATTGAAACTCTGAGGAAAACTCTCAAACAAAGGCGTTCTTCAAACGTCAGAATTTCCGAGTTTTTTTTTAAATTTTCTTGACTAGTTATGAATTTTATGTCTTGCAATATGATGATCGTAAAATTACATAAAGTACAACGGTGTCTAATAACTATTTTATATATAAGATAAAATTATCTAATTTTTAAAAAAACTGTAAAGTTCTTTTTTGATAAAAAAGGTTTTTATCGGATATCACGATTTAATTAAAAGAAATTTTTTTTTATTATAAATTCAGCATCATATAGCAATTATCTCGTAGAATTATATTAGGGGCTAGGTATTATACTTTTAAAATTCCAAAAATGTGTAGTAGCATTTCATGGGATCGAGAGATGCACGACATTTAGAAAGTTTACTCATTTTCTCAGAGTCGGTGAATCGAACTAATAAATTTGCACTTTAATGTTAAGTACGCACGCGAGGTATAGTTACGACGGCTTCGTGATCGAAAATTTATTGATAATACACGCGTTCCGCTCAAATAATTTTAAAACAAGATCAATATCACTATCGCCTAAAATCCCGCAGTCGTGCCGTTATAGAAAACTTTACCGTAATACGATTAATTGAGTTTTATAGTAATTAAACAAAGTATCGCGGAATCAAAGACTACAATTATCACATCCATAACACATGATATCTATCTATATTTATTCACCTTAACTTAAAATAAGTAGAACAGAATATCTATTATAAAAATCTAATTGTAAGATGGTATAAAAAACTTAGAACGTCGTGATATAACTTTATCTAGAAAAAAAATAAAAATTTTAAATTATATAATAATCTGTATAAAAAATTTATATATATAAATATAGAATGCACGATAAAAAATCGTTACTTAATCAATTAATAATTGTTATGGCACACAATATCAAAAATATAACATCATAAAAACCTTCTTTTTCTCGATTCAATTTTTTAATTCGAGCAAAATGTTGCATTTACAGTTTGTCTACAACATGATGGTCTGCAGCAAGAGTCACAATAACAAACCGATAGAGGAGTTTGTTCTGGTGTCGCCCGCGCCGGTGGACACGGCGGCCAAGCTGTCCAATATTTATATGAAACTCTCCGAGAAGGAGAAGGAACGCGCCAAGGATCTGATTGCGGCCGGGAAACAGTGCGAGGCCATGGCGACCGAGTTGCTTGCTCTGGCAGCGGGTGCCGATTCGGCCGGCAGGATCTTGACGTCAATGGATCGCCGAAACGTCGAGTTCCTGGACGTGCTGATCGAGAACGAGCAGAAGGAGGTAATCGCGCACACCGTGGTGCAGCGTTACCTGCAAGAACTTTGGCAGGGTAGCTTGAACTGGAACGCGTTTCGAACAATCTTGTTATTCATCGCCTTCATCATCTGCCCGCCCGTCTGGGTAGTATTTGCTCTCCCTCTCGGGCACAAATACAATAACGTGCCCATTATCAAGTTCATGTCGTATCTCACATCGCACATCTATCTGATGATCTTTCTGCTGCTGGTCGGCATCACGCCCATCTACCCAGTGGTGGTGAGAGTGAACCTGATACCGTACTGGTACGAGTGGTGCCTGTTGGTGATGCTGTCAGGCCTGTTGCTGTTCGAGTTGACGAATCCTAGCGA